GATTTTGTAAATTCTAATCCATTAGGGATTGTGATCATGATAATTGTTGCCGAGCAAATGCCTGTCAAGCAGCTAATTGTTGATGTTCAGTCCATCGAGTGTCAACTATACGGGTCCATTAACACGAACGTCCACCATGGACAGTCGAGAGCTGGAACTAGCAGCAGCTCAACGTGACAGTTATTTGATCGTTCCCAGCTATAGTGAGGCTATGTTGTTGGAACCGTCTCCAGCCACGAATCAGGTGAATTATAACTGGTGTAAGCACAAAACGCAACTTTACGATTTTATCGCAATTTATCTGCCTGCGAATAGTGGATGACCTCAATGTAGGCGAATAGATACAATTAGATACAATCCAAATCAATTAGCCTGACTCAAGCTCGCCACATCAATGATATTGGTACACCACTCGGTTTTGTGCCCCAACCGATGAAGGATACGCTGCGGATTCGAGTTCCGTCCTCGCAGGAAAGTTTTGCTCAAAACCAAATGATGTACCAACATCATTGACATAGAGGAGCAGCTTCATACTGAACGATTTCGTGTTGAAAGTCCATGCATAGCCTTCCTTACCCATACATATCCTTATCTGATCCTCATTATGTTGATCAGATATTTCAAATGCAGATCATATTGAAATCAGTCATTTCATATCGATACGTTTGTTTCATATATTGAGCGGAACAAGTCATTTCATATATTAAGTTTTCTTATGAGGTTTCGTTTCATGTATAAATCAAGTTTCACATATACCAAATCATTTCATATGTTATGCAGAACAAGTCATTTCACATTGATAAGATAGCGAAAGCACCGTTGTTGATCAATTGTGAAGAAGAAACTGATTGTAGTGGATGAATGGGATCATAAAAGTGATATATCCTCGAAGCGGAAAAGTTTCAGCCCCTAAATGTTTCGCAATGCCAACGATCTACTAACTTACAATAATGCCGTCAAATCGTGAATATATCCGAACACTCCCCATTACTTATCTCCAAACTGAACGCAGACTATAATCTGTTTATTGCTTCACTCATTACCAATTCGATAATTTTTCACGATGGTATTGAATTACCTCACAATCAGTATTGATATACTTTTTTGCAACAATTTGCGATCTTCACTGTCATTTATTTCGGCTCACAGGCGATTAAGCAGAATATAAAACTGAACTCTAGCATAATATTCCACACTCTTTCGAATGGTATTGGTTTTGTTTTAATCGGCTACGGGGATAAATCACATCTCGTATGTAAGACTGATCGACAACTGATCTTCGTGAACAATAAAGTTCAGATCTATCTATCGAATGATCACTATCGCAATCGAACTCGGCCACTGGTGTCGTGCAATGAGAATGTTGTGCTGACCAATTATGGTGCTATTGAACAATCATCAAATCAACGAACTCAACGATACGATAATCTGCGAAGTTCATTCAGACGATCGTTAATGCAACGTCTTCCGATTCGAAGTCGTTCGATGAATTTGATATTCAACAGGTTGGTTGGTGGTGAATGCTGAACGCTGCTTTTCAATGCCAAATATCAATTTCCACCTTTTCAATGCCAATTATCAATTCATCAATTTCTAGTAGAAACCAAAAAATCATCATTCGTAAACACCATAACACTTACTCACTCACATTTAGACAACCAAACAGCCTTTTTTCGTGAAACTTCATCATTATTTATTTGAAAGAGAGAAGTTGTTTACAGCATAAAGTGCACAGTGATCAATTCTGAGTTAGTCTTCAATTTCAGACGTCTGTCT